TAAGGGGTAATACAAGAGAGAACACGTCTAATAAGTTACATTGTCCCTGTGCTCAGGTTATACCTGGACTTGAGGTATGACAGAGCTGTTGTAAATGTAGCTGTCAGGACAACTTGTAGTCTTTTATATCAACACAAATCTAAAGCACGTAACATGGCAGCTTGGAAAAAATTACTGGTCTGAAATGGAAATGGTAAAAAATAATAGTATTGGCTAGACCAATGATGTCACTCCCCTGAAAGAGCATCTTAATCACTTCCTGAATCGAAAGTGTACTTATACTATAAGTCTTATAGTATAATTTATAGGCATATTGTGACAATGTGCCTCAGTTTCATTCAAATATTTTAACAACACTAAATGGGATAGGATAACAAGGTTTGGAGGGTGCTGAGGCAATTTAAACCAGTCTATGGATCAAACTGCAAATCATCATTAGTTTGCAAATGACTGCCATTCAGAAAGAGGAAGAAAAGGAAGGAGGGAGAAAAAGAAGGCAAGGTTTAGTGGTAGTTCAAAGGCAAGAGGAAATATGAACCATCTGTGCAAGCCCTAATTTCTGGGTTGTAAAAAACATTTTTGTATATTTTTATTTCTAATAACCGGGCAGTGTGCCTTGTGGCTGTTTTCAGGCGCAGACTTCAGAGTCTACGGGCAAACAAACAGTGAAGCAATTAGTCAATGGTAAAACATACAATGTAGAACAGTTATACCGCTCAGAAATGCATTTGTTTCGCAGAGGTCACATGTAGTTTATAACTGCTAGACATTCCTGGCAGTAAAACTCTGCCCGCAGTTCTGCATCTTCAAACACAAGTGGCAGTTGTTAGTGTTGTAAGAAGAAACCTGCCCCTAATACAAGGATCAGGGATTTTATTTTACCATTGTTTTCCTCATAAGGACTCTGATATATATCTCAGAGTCCTTATGATAAAACTATTCCGTGTCTTATTTCTCCTTGTCAGAAATTGAGCATGTTTCCATGGCAACCACACTGCCGTTAGCCAGCTGTCCAAACTGAGATAACGTATCAGGCAGAGTTGAGAGGGAGTTCTATAAATTCCCATTGTGATCCCATAGATTAGGGGAAGCTGTTGTGTCAGTACTGGTGGAGGTGTGTGTTTACCTGGCTCACACCTGGGCCTCAGTCAGTACAACCAGCTCAACACTGCTTCATATTAGCTGATTTTATCTGATTACAGGAGGACATGTCTGGAAGTCAGGTCTGGTCTGTATTTTACAGAACAGATTTGTTAAAAAAGTAGATTTAATCTAAATAAAGTAAAACGTTTGTATTAATTCCTGCAGCTTTATGTACACTTACACAGAGCATTCAAAATTTGATGCATTACACAACTTATAATTCATTAGTACTGCTTAGCATAATTGTTCCCATGAGTTTCCCATGTATTTAACACCCTCCCTGACAAAGTGCGGCTGTATTGTGCCAGTGCATGCCCTATGGCATGAATGCATCAGTTAGGCCACCATCTGGCAGCTTGTGCAATCTTTGTCCTGCTGTGCTCTGCAAGTGCCCCTGCCGAAATGGCAGCACTGGTAATGAAGAAACAGCTTGTCTGAGACATACAAGCATTATTTACATGCCTGTTCCTAAAGGCAAAAACCGGTTGGCAGGCATAGTTTAAATCTATAATTTTGCATGAAGGAGTCACTGTAGCGCATATTAAAAATACAAAATCTAAGCACAGATCATTGGTAATGTGTGAATGTACATCATGCACAAAAACATGAATGCACAGATACAAATGTGAAGTATACCATATAATTGAGCAAAAAGGCCAATAAGACAAAATGTGCATGCCTCCCCGTGTCTAATAAGTTACCATGACAACCAGAGAGTGGAGAGGATTGCCCTTGTTGCGCTCGAGCTCCCTTTTGTTGGAAAGGTTTCCCTTTTTCTCCTGTGGTCTGCCATAATCACCTCAAGATAATGATACATAATATTTATGGAAATAATATATTTCCCATGAGAATGTATTATTAACCAAACAGAGAAAGACTACAGTCTTTCACCAAGATCAATTTGAAAATCATCCTCACTGACTCAGCATTCACCCCTGAAACGCTGCTGCAACATCAGAAAATCAAGATACTGTAGTTTTTTGATAGAATTGTTTTCTTTTTTCCCACTGTTTTTTGGAATAACACAAAGAAATGGTGGTGGTTTGTAGCAAACCTAATGCCTAATGTGAAAACACATCACGGTCACATCACATTTAAACACTGAGTATTTAAATAAAACGAACATAGAGATTTTTTCATTACTATCTGCAGTAGCAGTGTAGAAACACTCATTGAACCACTCGTGGCATTCCCGTAATCAACACTCCTGCACCTGTTGAAGAGGATTAGCATTTGAGCCCACTTTCACGTCTATAATCCCCCTTTAATATGCACTTCATGTAATAATGAGCTGCTTGACTTCTCTGATAGCACGGTTTGAATCTGATTCAAAGGCACCCATGGCTTGTGGAGCTCCTTTTCTGCCTCTGCAACTAAACTTTGTTCTGCTATTTTGTATACATCCCTCCCCACCCCCACCCCCACCACCAACACCACCACCACCTCAGCTCTGTCTTTTACTGCCTGCCAAGGGAGTACACATCTTATTTTGGAGAATCAGCTACTCATATTCTGGTGCTCTGATCTGAGTAGGCTCCAACTGACGACTGAGGGGAGCACAGGGCATCATTTACCACATGCATGCTCTACACAGTGATGAAGAGTGCCACATATCTCCCTGTCTATTTTCAGATCACTAGCGGTACAAGCTGAATGATCCTCATCCTTTTAATAGGATAGATGTAATGTTTGCTTGTTAGAGAATTGTTAAGTTGGGAGAAGATATGGGATTGCTGTAACTTTAACAATTAATAAAGACAACACAGGGATGTCAGGGGTAGTGTAACCATTTACAAAATCCATGTTTTTGTACAGCAGGGAAAACTAAAAACAAATGTAAATATTAAATGGTAGTCATGGGCCCTAATTCTTACTACAAAGATTATTTGATTCAAATGTTTGCATATAGTCAATAAGGAAAAAACAACAACACTATTTTCAATGTGTCATACTGCTCTGTCATTTTTACAAGACTCCAACTTTTATATTCTCAAATCTTAAAAATCAAATCAATCTCAAATCTTAAGAAAATGTAAAAGAAGTCCATTAAGACAAGTTTGTCATATTTCCAATTTTATTTAAATATAGTGTAATGCAAACAGTGCACTTTATGCTTACAATGTGTCCATTTTTATATTTTACACACTTAAGTAGCTGTATGTAATTCTGGAGGTCCATCTAATGGTAGTGAGATTTAATTCCTGGACAACTGCAACTTGTGCTCCACGCAGTTAAATCGGACTGACTGACTGATGCAAACATAAAGGAACATTATACCGTAGCAGAGCTCAAGCCTCAAAAACAGTTTAGCTTGTTTTATTGATTGTGTTGTCATGACGCTTCCGAACAATATATCTAAATGACATATGACGCTTTTCCAGCTCTGGTTCCACATTCATATTCATCATTTGAGTTGAACATCCAGGAGTTAACCTAACTAGCATGGATTACAAGACATCATCATATCAACATTCCCACTGCCAAAGCTGTCCAGGAGGACGTTCTTTACACTGTATTTAGTACTAACCTAATTATATTATGTTATAATTATTTAATATACTTTAATATACAGTAACTATTTAGATCACAGAGCATAGAAGCAAAAACGGTCATATACTGAATTCAGGGAAATTTACATAGTGTTATACCTCTACATGTAAGAGTCAACAGAAGTTGTGATAGTGTAGTTCACACTAGTACAGCACACAGTGCAACAGCATTCACTTAGTCATCAAATCTAATGTAAATGAATGTAAATGAATCAGGCCTATTTAAATAAATATAAATGACCCCTGTCAGTTCACTGATGTAACAACCAGAACGACAGGCACATATCACTTTCAGTACTCTGGCAGAACTCACTTAATGGTTTTTATGTATGGCTGCAGATGTACCACGTTCAAGGACAACTCGCCAGGCTTAGAGATGTTTTCATTTTCTCTCTCATTCTCAGTAAATCCCAAGACCACCTTATCTGCCTTTGTTATGGTATTCTTTGTTTAATTATGAACCGCTGATTAAAATTCCACTCATCCTGTGTAGCCTGCATCACAGTAATGGAACACACAAAACCCCACACACAGACAACAGTGCAGATGCTGGCATTTCAATATTGATTCCCAGTTTCAGCAAGGAGATGAAGGATTGTGGCCACGGGAGAGCAGGGAAACTTATCAAGGTGAGCTTTTGATAAATGAGAGTGACAAATATTGTGACGTAAATGATAAAGGTCATGTGTGACATTGGGCACACAGTGCACCTCTCCAACTCGGAGAGTGAGCCATGTCATTATCTCCTCTTCCAGCTCAAAGGAGGGACCAGCGGGGCAATGGCCAGCTAAATGTCACATCTGCCCTGCCAATGGATGCCGACGGAGCGCAATGACAGCCTTGCGAAGCCACAGGCCGCCACTGCTTTGCCAGTCCATTACAAAATACCCATCTCAGTACTGGCGCACAATAGCTACTGTCATAATGTCACCAGACTGCCTCGCCTCCAGCAGACAATGGGCACCAGACCCGCTGCCTGGATGGGAGTGCGTGTCCACGTGTGTTTGGAAAGATAACGGAGTGTAACCTGTGCCTTTTCTCAGCCAACCTGAGAGCCGGCTTCTCCTCACTCCCCCGCTGAGCTTTTGCCCTCTTTGCCCCTTTCTTTTAAAATGGAATCCCTCTTTGTTCAGAGAATTATATTCTTCTTCTACTTGGGTGTTGTGGAAAGGGAAGTCGGGCAAAGTAAGATTTTCATTGTACGTATTAACCACTGTGTTTCTTACTGTGCATATGACAATAAACCTCTTGAATCTTGAATGTTATATGTAAGGACTCTCTGTCTCTTTTTTACGTTATTATTTCTAGGACAGCAAGGAGAGCTTGCTATCATAAACCAGCATGAAAAAGTGAGAAACATTCAAGCTGCCACCATACTCCGAGATAGATGTCAAGCTGTTTGTGTGAGTTGAAACTTGCGACTACACAGCGGTAAAAACGGTAAAACAATTAAATTATTCTTTGTACATGGTGACAGATTGATGGGAGATTGCTGCTGATGTCTAAAGGCTGTTTGCTGAATGATAAATGTGTTTTTCATATATACTTGTATCTACATAGCTGGCATCATTCGTCACATTTATTTTTTTCTGAATTGCAGTGAGAAGACCTGAAAGCCATGGGTGGAAAAGAAGAAGAAAAAGAAAAAGTGACAGTTATTGAGGGATTATGCGTCATCATTGACATTTGCAGAACATTTTTATCGAGCTGTATTCATTATCTGGTGAATTACTCCCTTTTTAGCACCTAATCAGCCTGCCGCGGATTAGCTTCAGCTCATGTAAAATTTATTTCATGCTTCAGCTTCCATGGAAGCGAGGCATGAAGAACCACTCAGACCAGTGAATGTGCCAGAGGCATGCAAATAAATGACACTCGGGATAGCTTGAATGTTGTGTGAGACTATCATTAAGCATAATAAGCAATTATTTTGAAATTCTATAGCATACCATACTCTTCCACAGGGTACTCTTGATGCACAGGAGTAAAAAAACATTTCATAGGATGTCAAAGCATTACATTCATTCAGTATTTGGTATTCTTTCTGTTTCATGTTACCCAGACAACTTGCTCTGTGACTGACCTTTAACTGGTGAGAGAATTAAGCTATCCACCAGACCTATTTATATGCAGAACAGCACATTATTAATATGTTAATACCTGCCAATTCTTCCATGCCTCGCATTTAAGAAAGGAATAGCTTGACCTTTGGTGACAGCCTGCCAACAAAGTCAAGCTGGCCTAATTTAAGAAAGTTATTTAATGTCAATTGCCCTTTGATCCAGGGGAGCACCAAAAGCTCAGGGTAATACATTGATGTGTGTAAACCTGTGGTGTGAAATATTTGTGACCAGTGATAGCACTATATTATGTGGGGGTATGCAATAAAAAGTATTTGTTATTCATATAATCCACTGCTGTCTGCCTAACACTGTTGCAGTTTTATTATATACAATCAAACTGTCTGGATTGCAATGGATTATAATTAATACAATGTAATAATTTGATAAAACATGTAATTTAAATAATTTAACAATTTAAAATATTGTATGTCTCTAAAGTCAAAGTTTGTAATGATGGATCTTCCACAGTATGGTGACTTAAACTGCCAGTCTACTTGTATATGAAAAGCAAGTAAAGAGGGTTTGCAGAAATGTGCCTTAAAATAACTTAAGAATGGCACTTTAATGGTGGATGTACTTGCAAGATCATATTTTGTATATGCTCAGTGTTTGATATTATAGATATGTGAATCTGGTGTTGTATCCAGTCATCAAATCTGAATCCTTTCAAATCCCTATTTATTTCTGTGTATTTATTTCAAATGATTTGCATCGATTAATTAGGCTTAGCTATCAACATTTGCAAGTAACTCATATGGTCATGATGAACTGCGAAAACACAAAGTCCACTTTGCTCGCATTTATGTCCCTGGGAAACAATCTGTGGCTGAGTACATAGAGATTTGGGAGAGCAAACAAAAAGTTTAATTTTAGCCGTTAAAAAAACTTCTGCTAATTATTTTCAGCTGATACAATCTAACAACAGCTATTGTTGTCATTTTAACAAGCAATCGGTGGCTGTTAAAAATAAGAACCCCGCTGCCTGAATACTGTTTTCTTTGTGTCTTTTTGCTTTTAAAAACCAATGAGGGCAGATAAAAGTTAAGATAAGAGATTTGTTAGGGTCAGAGCTTCAGTGAATCCCAGTATTTTGTCGAGCGGGAACCAGATCTAAAATGGACAATGGGATACTGGAACCCAACTTGCTTTAGAACAAACATATATTCAGAGGATGCAATTCATACGAAAATCTATGTTGATCCAAATATGTGGACACTTCACTATGTGCTTTATGGGGGATTAAAAAAGTCCACACACTTACAAGCAATGATCTTATGTAGTCCTTCTAACAGCTGAATCAGTATGAAGTCTTGTGTAGTAGTACAGCTTAGACCATTTGACAATGTCATTATAATCAGCAACATTATCACATTATCCCTTTGGATATAGAAGAGCACAAACAATAGTAGTGCCCAGGGGACACGTGGACTTCATTGATCCACACGCAAGACTTTTGGATTCTTTTTTTCCCTTTTTTTTTTATTTCTTCCCTGTGTTTTCAGATTCCTAATGCCCATCAGTCATCTCCTATGTGTACAGCAGCGAACAATAGCAAAGAAAGTTGATAGCAGTACTGCTATTAAACTCAACCTGTGTGCTATATGCATGTATTTTAAGAAGAATATTTACTTTATTAATCCCCTGGGCCACCCTCTAGTTTCCAAGCCAAGTCCCCACAGCCTGAGCTAGTGCTGCCGTTTTACATTGAAGTGGAGACTTGAAGAATCATGAGAAATAATTCACGCTTAATAGCAAGAAAACTTATTGTTTTTCCACATAGATTTGTGTTTATCCCTTCAACGTTTGTCATTTTTCGGTCTATTTTAACTAGTCAGTTAGTCAGTATGGGTTCAGGTTTAGGGTTTAGCTTATTAAGCTCATGTTTGCAGACTGTTGCATTCAATGGGCACAACACCAGACCTCTTTCAAACATGTCTGAGATGTGACCAGTGATTAAGAGGTTGGAAACCAGACTAAGAAGTATGCATTAGATAGAGAATTTTCCATTTCACACTGTATAGCCTAATGGTGCACAAATAAAAAATGTGCATTTTGAATATGAAACTCCAGATAAGCATGATACTATTTCAAAGGATCCCTGAAACAGGCAGGCAAAGAGTGGAGGCTATATATGAGATCTTCATATAGTGCAGTTTGTTTTTTTCATGCATGGAAAAATGACCTTTGGAAAGAAAGTGCAATTTTAAAAGTTAACTATAACTTTGCACAGAACCCACAGGACTCTGCTCATGTCTGAGTCCCTTCTGCAAAGTGCTGCTCAGATCACCTGACTGTGCTGATGTGGTTAAATTATGGAGCCTGAAGCAGTAGTTTGAGCTTCATGATTTAAATGTTAGCGGCACAGAAGGCCAGTCGTCCTGCTATTGCTAAGAGTCTATGTCTGTAAATGATTTGAATGACTCAAAGCTCAACTTCAACACTCAGTAAATTCACTCCAGAAGGCGAGTTATGACTCACGCTCAAGGGGTTCAATTCAGTGGACTGAATTCAGGTGGCTACAGCAATGAAGAGTGAGGAAAATGTCATTGAATGTTACCATCACTTGATATTGTCCGAGCAGGGTATGAACCAGAAACTTTTAATGATGCTATATCCATACGCCATCAGTGCCTTTGTTTTTTAAAAACTCCTCGGTGAACCTGCTGTGATCTCAAATGTGCTCACATTTCTGGGAACATAAATGTTCCCAAAAGCTAATTCATTAGAGTGTCTGCATAATACTGGACTGAGGCGCCTTTCACAGCAGCCATGGCATGAAAAGAATGGTAGTTCAGGCCACTGAGAGTTCTCTGTTTGTGTCAAAGCACATAGTTACAGACATTTGTGTTTAGACAGAGCAATAAACAGAGATAGGGCTACAGTGCCAAACTAATAGATGGTCTGAGAGTTTGGTAAGGTGGCTGGCAAATAGGACTCCAACTCTCCTCATTTTTAATGATCTCCCTTGTGTGCTTTGGCAGATATGGAGTTTGAACACCGTTCCAACGACTGAGGCAATTTCATTACACCACACTGTTTAATGTGCACACTGGTGTTAAGTTTAGACCAATCATACCCAGGGGTGAAACGAGTTTTCAGCCTTTTTAATTTAATATATTTTGACCTGGAGGAGTATTATGTAACGTATGGCCTTTTTGACCTCTACTGGCAACTAATGAGACCTGTATCAACATAATCTGAAATTATTTCCTCCCACACAAGTCTCCAGCAGAGCCACCTTTGCATCTCTATGTAGGTAGTCTACAATTAACATAAACAAGTCAGATTTTCACAACAGAGACGAGTAATAGTCCTCTCAGAAACATTTAGATCTGATTTATTGTGATGAAAGAACAATATTTCATTGTTTTGAGCTCTCTGTGTTATTGGAGAGGGGTATGTAGCCTTCGTGGGTGTGTTGTGGGGTGGCCGCCTGTAAACAGGAGTGCACTCAAATTCCAGCAAGCTTTTATTCCAAAAACAAAAACAGACCATTAAGTATTTAACGAGACAAAAATTCTAAGCACCTGGCAATGTTATCATTAGGCTGATTAATATCTTTTTTTTAAGATCATCTTTTGGGCTTTGATTGCCTTTATTAGATAGTAGAAGCTGTGACAGGAAAATGTGGATGATATGCAACAAAGGGCTGCAGGTTGGACTCAAACCTGGGCCACTGTGGTAAGGACTCAGCCCTTGTACATTGGGAGCGTGCTCAACCAGGTGAGCTACCAAGGCACCTCAAACTAATTCATATCTTTATCAGCTCCTGACATATGGGGGCAGAAGCATAATGTTTGCAAATGACATACTGTATATGTATATATAATGACATATAGTTTAAGGTTACAAGCTGATTTTGCTCCTAAAATAACCAAAGAGGATTGATTTGACAAAAATATCTAATCAGGATCAGGAACAATATTGCAATTTAAGTTGCAATTTGCCCTCCAGGCCAGTATTTGTGGTCCCGAGTTTTAAACAAGATATGCTAGTACCATACTGTAATCACACTTATTGTATTTTTTTTTTTTTCAAAACAGTCAGTCACAGAAAAGGCTTCTAAAACTTCTAAATAAACTTATTTATTTATATTTATATTTATATACTTATATATTTATTTTTCAATAACAAAATATATATTGACATTGTGATTTTTAATGTAAAATTAGTAATCGTTGAATAGTGAGCTAGGAAGTGTTTTGGGGGTCAGACACAGGGGTGCCCCAATAGCTCATCAGGTAGAGCACAGACCACATATCAAGGCTAAGTTATGGCAGTGGCCTGTGTTCCAATCTGGCCCTTTGCTGCATATTATACCCTCTCTCTCTCCCCATATTTCCTGTCACTCTTTACGTTCAAAAAGCAAAATGGCAAAAAAAATTTGAATAAAAAAAATGCGGGGGCTGTATCTTTAAGTTACATATAGCTTGAAGCATTAGCATGCTGACGTATCACTGCCTTGCTAGAAGCGCAACAGGAACATTTCTGACAACCAGATTCAATTTGCTTTGCTGGGTTTCCTGGCTGACAGAACAATTAGTGCAGCTGTGCCACAGAGATGTTCAGCATTTCTGCTGCCAGATGCTGATCCTGGACATGACACTGATGGAGCATGGAAGGATAAACTGCCACTCCACAGGTCTAGCTCTGTCATTCACAAACAGGCCTCATTAGCCAACCGACACTGTGTGTTTACACTGAAAAGCAGCAGATTAATAAGAATTTCAAAATGGTCAGATTAATATATG